CCTTGGGGTCTACCTGAGCAACGAAGAAATTGTCAAGATCGATGAACAGATCGCGAAGGACTTCGAAAAGGAACCCGAGAAAGTCGAAGCGATGAAGCAGGAGCTCCTCGCGTGCGACACCCCGCCCCTCCTCTGCAAGGCCTTCCCGCCCCCCGGAGGGAAGCCAGCAACCGACTTCGTCTACCGGAACGTCGACCAGACGTCCCTGGCTTCCTTCACGGCGAAGTGCAAAGCCAATGGTGTCACATTTAACAGTGGAATAGAAGCTGTGATTAATACCGCCATGATCGAGATGGCGAGGGGGACGGGGGTGGAGGGGGAGTCTCACCACATGAGCATCAATCTAGCGACGAATCTGAGACGTTACATGAAGCGCCACTCCCTCCCGATCCTCGGCTTGCACGTGCGCCCCACTGTGCACAGGATAGAGACGCCCTTCGACGTCCGGGACAACTTCTGGGACTACACCAAGAGGCTCGACCAGAGGCTCTCTGTTTTCCTGAAATCTGGCGAAGCCATTCAACAGAACGTGGTGAGGGAGATGACCCTGCCGCAGCTCCCTGCGGTGGAACACCACGCAGCAGGGCCCAAAGCCCTGCGTGACTACGGCCTCACTAACATCGGGGATCTCACGGCCCTCATTCCAGGCGTCGGGGAGCACCTCCAGCAGACGGACCTCGCCATGTTTAGCTGCACGCACTACTCTGGCTTCCCGATGCTTCACCAAATGTACACCTTCAGAGGACATTCGCCATATACACTCAGCTACGACACCTCCTACTTGGCTGAGGATACTGCTGTTGAACTCATGGACAGGATTCTGGCACTTATGCACGAACTTGGGGGGTCGCCAAATTCTGACGGAAAATAGGGTTAAGATGGGTAAATGACCATTGCAAAAATGTTAGACACGAGGTTAAATTGCATTACTTCAGGGCATTCTTTCTGATTCTGGTTTATTTACCTCTAATTATCCTTCCAGAATATTGACTATCATCTGTATTTACCGTTTTGTGAAAGTACATGATATTGATTTATATGACTTCGGTATTACAAAATATCGATATATTTTTTAACTGTCATGTTCCGTTTACCAGCACGGTTTCATGAAATGATATAACACTATTTGTATGACCGGTATTACATAATATCGGTCTATTGTTGACTATATACTGTAATGTCCTGACTTTATACACTGTTTAACATAAAAAATAGTTGTAGTTAATATATGACAATGGATCAATCGACGATTCCTGAATTACGTAGATTTTAGATACATCCTCTTCTACATGCGAACGAAATTATATGACTTTTTGGTTAGTGTGAGCTTTAGTTTTTGTAACATATGACGATGGGTTAATATATGGTTAATCTCTGAATGATAAATACAATGTTCAATATTAACATCGGTCTGTGTTTATTGCCCTTTCCTACTTCCCTTTTTCTTAAATCCAAGGAAGGGTCTGCAAACGAAAAGAAAACCAGTATTAACGCGAGATAGATGATAGATAGATAGAGAGATAGATAGATATATGGATAGACAGAGAGAGAGAGAGAGAGAGAGAGAGAGAGAGAGAGAGAGAGAGAGAGAGAGAGAGAGGGAGGGAGGGAGAGAGAGAGAGAGAGAGAGAGAGAGAGAGAGAGAGAGAGAGAGAGAGAGAGAGAGAGAGAGAGAGAGAGAGAGAACGGGGTAAGAGAGAGAGACAGGAAGACACACAATTAGACAGATAGATAGATAGATAAATAGATAGATAGATAGAGAGAGAGAGAGAGAGCAGGATAAGAGAGAGAGAGAGAGAGAGAGAGAGAGAGAGAGAGAGAGAGAGAGAGAGACAGGAAGACAGACAGATAGATAGATAGGTAGAGAGAGAGACGGGGAGAGAACGGGATAAGAGATAGATAGATAGATAGATAGACAGATAGAGAGACAGAGAGAGAGAGAAAGAGAGAGAAAGAGAGAGACAGAGAGAGACAGAGAGAGAAAGAGGAAAAACTATACAAAGAGAAAGAAAATAAAAGTGAAGGGGAAAGTAAAGAGAATTTTCCTGAGATAGATAGATAGATAGATAGATAGATAGATAGATAGATAGAGAGAGAGAAATAGAGACATAGAGATAGATAAAAAGGAGAAACTATACGAAGAGAAAGAAAATAAAAGTGAAGGGGAAAATAAAGACGAAAATAGCTCCAACACACACTGAGTTCTGGTTCCCTCGTGTGCCAGTTAAGACTCACTGCTGTGTTCGATTGATTTCAGTATATTCTACTATTGTGCAAATAGATAAAGAAAAACTATTGTCACCAGTGAAATAATTTGTTTTGAATCGCTTTACCTTCCGCTCTCTCTCTTTCTCTTTCTCTTTATTTCTCTCTTTCTCTTTCTCGCTCCCTCTTCCTCTCTTTCTCTCCTTTTTTCTCTCTCTCTCTCGCTCCTTTTCTCTCTCTCTCTCTCTCTCTCTCTCTCTCTCCCTCTCTCTCTCTCTCTCTCTCCCTCTCTCTTTCTCTCTTTCTCTCTTTCTCTCTTTCTCTCTCCCTCTCTCTCTCTCTCTCTCTCTCTCTCTCTCCCTCTCTCTCCCTCTCTCTCTCTCTCTCTCTCTCTCTCTCTCTCTCTCTCTCTCTCTCTCTCTCTCTCTCTCCCTGTTGCAGCTTCTCTCCTTATAATTCGGCGAAGATTATATAGTCTATTATACATAAGCCATAATCGATTAAGCTGACGTAATCCAACAGGCAAAAAGTTAAACCACATATTCATTACACTTCGGTAAATCAGTATGCTGTAATGAATCCAAAAGTTATAATTAAAAGAATTTCTACACAGAATCACCATTGAGCGTAACTCCTGTGGGAATGTCATGCCTCTGTATCAGTCATATCGCATACTTTGTCTCTGTAGAAATTTAAGCGCTGGGTGCTTTTATTTTTCGTTTATGGTATTGTTATTATTATTTTCTAAAAATCAAATGTTAGCTATCGTTAACGGTCATATTTGGGAGCATTAGATTTCTTTTCGGGGATTAGCGAGAGCTGCATACCGCATACTTTGTCTCTGTTTAGTTTTAAGCGCTGGGAACTTTTATTTTTCGTCTATGGTATTATTATCATTATGTTCTAGGAATCATATGTTAGCTATCGTTAACGGTCTTATTTCCGAGTATTAGATTTCTTTTCGGGGATTAGCGAGAGCGTAATGTGGGCGTAAAAGACCGATGATGCATTGGTAGTAAATTCTCTCTAATGGTATCTTTTTTGTGTTTTGTTTTGTTTCTTGCCAGTCGTAATGGTGTTAGATCTCGCGCAATTCTTTCTCATTCTTCGCGAAATTGGATTCCCCTCCGTCTATACCGATATGGTTAGTATTTCAGGTAAAATCCCTTGTCTTCTTCGTTATTTCCTCGAGCGATGATCACAACGCCCCTTGAAGCTAACCTTCCTTAAGGTCGAGGAAGGTCAAGACAGAGCAAGGCCAACCTCTGTACTCGGCTACAACCCTAACAAGGTTTTCTAAAGTCGATTTTTTTCGACTTTGATTATGGACAGAGGTTGTAATTCTGTGGAAATTCGTCTGCTATACAGAAAATAAAAAAAAAACAAAAGGCTGCGTTTTTTCCTCGTACCTTGAATAACATGCCACATACGAGAACATAATAAAAACGAAAAAAAATATTAATATGAGTATCATATAAAAATTCCATATTTTCTTCACTTTCAAAGAGAGGCAACTTGAAAACTGCCTTTCCAAATCATAAGCGCAAGTATCATTTCGCAATCTAATTTACCCTAGTCTACCCTCTTATCAGAATAAACAAAGAAAACACGTTTCGACATTAGCCAATCACAGCGGCGATGAATGACAGCCAATGAAAAGCTACGGAATTGAGTACCAGCTTTGTATATACCTAGAAACGGCCATATCTTCCTCGATCCAGCTGCGGTGGGTGATGCTGAAGATGAAGTCTTGATGGCGGTGATGCAGGGAGTCTCGGTCCAGGCGAGGAGGAAGGAAGGTCGCACAGGTGACTTCGAAGGTCGGCGGCCTAGGGAGCTTGTTCGCACTGGTCGCTGTTCCGAAGAGCAGGTGGTCTTGATGGGAGCAGCAGTGGTGATCAGTCACGGAGCTCGTCAATCGTTCCACAGGATCTCTTGAACACACTATTAACTTGTCAAGCGCCGTGTCAGTCAGAAATGATATGAACACCGGTCTAGAAGATTATGGAGCAAGTTGTTGTTGATGAGACGAGGATTGAGCAGAGAATCGTAAAAACGATGGTCTTCGAAGAACACGTCGTCGCGGGAAGGATCCCTCATCTCGGGAGAGGAAAAGCACCATGGTGATGGCGTCATGAGGTTTGACAGGCAAGGCAAGACCATCCTTGCCGGGGTCACCAGCACAGGACGGCAGGTGTGGTGAGAGAGGCAAGATGCGGCGAGGACGTCAGGCAGCGCTCACCAGCAGATGAGGCAGCGGTGACGCTAGTAAAATGACACGACCGGAGTTGCAGCAACGTACAGTAAAGGACAGAAGTGCGTTGGCAGGTGATACAGCAGCAAGGACGACCGTGAGATGGGCTTGTTAACAGGGCTAGTGAAACTTGGCGCGCCAGAGGTCAGCACGGGGCGCTTGGCTCTGAGGACAACAAATGAGACCAACAAAACCATGTTTTGGCAACAGAAGGCATAATGTCATCTCAGCGAGTTACAATAGCAACACAAATTCATAATGATAAGGAAATGACTGGAAGCAACGTGTCAGGGAGTCGGAATAGTGTTAATTGCAACATTGACCTGAGAGACTGAAAACAGTAATAAACAATCAAGATTATAGGATACAATCTTAAGGAAATTACGAGTTAACAGATCCATGTAAAATGTAGGAATGATTCTCCACGAAAATAATATGTAGAATTCATGTGGAATGATACAGAACAACAAATATTTCCCCTGGAAATATAGGTAGATAGATCATACTTAGAATATATTTCCTTCAGGGAAATGTGAGTTCTTGCACGTGAAAATGCAAGATTAATGGGAAGTTAATTAAGAGTAGTTGCATGCTAGGCTATAGAAATGAATTATCCTATGGAGATAATTATTGAAGCTAAGCAAATAAATGTAGGGAGAGATCACAAGAACAGGTAGTAATAAAGAGGAGGAGGAGGAGAAGGAGTAGAAGATTTTTCTGTAAAATAGTTTATAATGAATGAACTGGAATTCAGCATCATGTGGATTCAGAAATCATCATGATGTAGATCAACATGAGAACAAATTTAGGTTGACAGAACTACTGAGAAATGAGAGTACTAAAGAGAAAAGTTAGGCAGATCACAGGGCATGGGTGAGGCGAGGCACAGAGTGAGCAGGAGATAGATGTCAGCTGAGGGCAATCTCATTTTCTATGAATGGAGGAATACAGGTGTTCATGAGACCGAGAGGAAATCAGACACTTTACTTCACAGGTGATATCCTAAACAAATGAGAACAGCGAGGATAAAGGAACTCACCTTGAGGTACTGGCAGGGCAGTGTTGACTAATGTTGCAGGCATCAGGTGACTGCAGCAAGTGCTGAAGACTGTGAGAGATGTTGGAATACTGTGCAGTAAGGGAGGAGTGATGTCAGCTTGGCAGGGAAGACTGGTTTTGTGCTTGATGTCAGAAGTCCACAGATGTATTATGAGATGAAGTCTTGGAGTGACAGAAGTCGCCAAAGGTGTCTCCGCTTCCAGGATTTGATGGATAACTTTGGAGGGCTTCATGTGGTGTGTTATCCCAGACCGCTGTCACCAAAGTAATGATGGTGAAAATTATCCCACCACTGCCACCAATGTAATAGATAAAAGGAAGGTTATCCCACTAGTCTGCCACCAGTGTAATGATTTGTGGAATATGTGTCCCCACTGTGGTTGTATTGCTTTGATTCTTGAGAGTGTTGTAGTTAAAGTTGTTGTTTAGTCTAGTTATACTGTAATACTGCAGGAGTTTGGTAGCTGGAGTACAGAGGACAGGCAAGGCAGAGGTGCCCAAGGAGGAGTGGAGCGTCTTGCCATGCCCGGAAGGCCGAGTGGTCTGTGTTGATTGCTCAGAAATTTTTATGAACAAACTTCACTTTGAAATATTTCATAATGAAAAACATGGAAGAATTTGAATGAACACAGATTCAGATTCAGATACATTTATTTGGCCACGTGATAATTTTGTGGTGAAGAAACAAGGGGTAAATTATATATGGTTGTTAGTGAGAAAGTTATGTTGTTTACAAGACTAAAAAGCTTTATGATAAGGAGACAAATATGCTGAGTATTCATAAAACATAAAGACATTTGAATATCGATAACAATAGCAATAACATACAGAATAAGCATTTTCTAGTGAATATTTTGAGTATAAACAAGACTTAATTATACACAAAGACATCAGAATAACAGCATGGGAACTGCTTGCAAGCCATAAGGGTTGAATTAGCATGTCCTAAGGCCGCTTCGTCATTGTAGGCCTGTTGGAGTCGGCGCAGGACAGTGGAGTTACTGTAAGAAACATACGGCTTTTCTGGTATGTGGGGCAGGAGGGATCACAAGAACAGGTCGCTATAAGGAGGAGGAGAAGGAGTAAGTGTAGGAGTGGGAGAAGGAGAAGGAGGAGGAGGAAGAGGAAGAGGAGGAGGAGGAGAAGAAAGACTAGGAGGAGGAGGAGCAGGAGTAGGAGGAGCAGGAGTAGGGAGAAAATGAGAAGGAGTAGGAGGAGGAGGAGGAGAAGGAGCAGGAGGAAGAGGTGGCTCTCTCTGTCCATCTCATCTCTCCCTCCGCTTCTTCCTCACTCCTGTATGTATATATTTCCCCCCCTCCTATATTCTTTCTCTCTCTCTCCCCCTCCATCTCTATCTGTCTGCCTCCTCTCTCTCTCTCTCTTCCCCCATTCCCTCTCCTCTCACCTCTCTTCTCCCTCGACCCCTCTGTTTCTCTCTTTCTCTTTCTTTCTCTTACCCCCTCCCTCTCCTCTCTTTTCTCCCCCTTCCTGCCCTCCTCTCACTCTTTCTTTGCACCCCCCTTCCTCTCTTCTGTCTACTTCCCCCTCCCTCCCCCCTCTCTTCTCCCCCTCCCTCCTCTCCGCTCTCTCTCTCTCTCTCTCTCTCCCTCTTTATATCTTCCCCCTCCCTCTCCTCTCTCAGTTCTCACTTCTCTCTCTCCCTCTTGCTTTCTCTGATGTTCTCTCATTCCCTAGCACGTTTTTTTTTTTTTTTTTTTTTTTTTTTTAACCTACTCATATTAGGAAATGAAAATTATAAATTATATCTATTCGTTTATTCGATTTCATGCATAAATTTTTATCTTTCGTTTGCTATTTCCCCTTCTCTATATCAAAGGAGGGAAGACCATAAACACAACTGGATGTACAGATTAATTTTATATATTATTAATAAATATCTTTCTGGAATTAATATCTTATACGCATAAACATCGCATGTGATTATGTTTTCTGAGAAAAAAAAAATAAAACAATTTCGTCAATTGTTAGTCTATGTCAACAAGAAAATCAGGATGAGTCAAGAATATATCGACATTGTGCAAATGCCGAAGTCGAAAAATATATATTACATATAATGTCACTAAATCTAAAGGTAAATTTAAACAATGGTAAATTTTCACCGCGAACATTTAGAAGTAGATTCGGTTAAATTGAGGTGAATTTCTGCAATTTCACGATATAGGTTAGTGTGATGAATTAATATAAAATGAGGCTGGAATTCATACTTCACGTAACAAACATCGTGAAGAAGATCAAAAGTGACGTCTTGGTGTTAGAAAATACTATAGCATTTAGCGTCTTGCCGCCTCTTTGTTCACAGTTTCAAAGACCTACGAGTATTTACCTTATTCCCTTTTCTCTGTCGTTCCACATCTTTTATTTGTTTATTTATTTGTTTTTTACATTATAACAAGCTTTCCTGAAAAGCTTGTTATAACTCATGGATGAGTGAGTTGGAACCTTTTTCTTTTTTTAGTATATAAACAAGCTGATCAGTTATTACAGTCATCGAGTATCACTTCTTGTTCTTAATTCTTTTAGGAAGATGTCCCAAGTTCGTGCATAAGCATCAGGACCCTGTCTGTGAGCGTAACGGCGGTCTCCCTCGCTATGTAGGAGGTGTCGTAGCTGAGCGTGTAGGGCGAATGTCCTCGGAAGGTGTAGATCTGGTGAAGCATTGGGAACCCAGAGTAGTGCGTGCAGTTGAACATGGCGAGGTCCGTCTGCTGGAGGTGCTCCCCGACGCCTGGAATGACAGCTGTGAGATCTCCGATGTTGGTGACGCCGTAGTCACGCAGGGGTTTGGGTCCTTCTGCGTGGTGTTCTACTGGGGAGAGCTGCGGCATGGTCATCTCCCTCACCACGTTCTGCTGAAGGGCCTCGCCGGACTTCAGGAGAACCGAGAGCCTCTGGTGGAGCCTCTTGGTGTAGTCCCAGAAGTTGTCCCGGACGTCGAAGGGCGTCTCTATCCTGTGCACAGTAGGGCGGACGTGCATACCGAGGATCGGGAGGGAACGGCGCTTCATGTAGCGTCTCAGATCCGTCGCTAGATTGATGCTCATGTGGTGAGACTCCCCCTCCACCCCCGCCTCCCTCGCCATCTCGATGATAGCCACGTTAATCACAGCCTCCAGTCCGCTGTTGAACGTGACACCATTGGCTTTGCACTTCGCCGTGAATGAAGCCAGGGATGTCTGGTCGACGTTCCGGTAGACGAAGTCGGTTGCTGGCTTCCCTCCGGGGGGCGGGAAGGCCTTGCACAGGAGGGGCGGGGTGTCGCAGGCCAGAATCTCTCGCTTCATCGCTTCGACTTTCTCAGGTTCCTTTTGAAAGTCCTTCACGATCTGTTCATCGATCTTGACAATTTCCTCGTTGTTCAGGTAGACGCCGAAAGGCTCGTCGTCGATGGGTCGTCCAGCTATGACGTCGTTGAGCAGGCCCACGAGTTTTCCGGTGATTATGGCCATTGTGACCCCGTCAATGAAGGAGTGGTGGGGCATCATGACGAGGTCGTACTGGTAGGGGAAAGCTGCCTTTATTTCGGGCATAGGGCAAGGGGCATCGTCGGGCACAGGGACGAGTCTCGCTTTCCAGGTGGGCGTGCTGTCAGCGGAGAAAGGTTCACTTGTAAGCTGCTTGATGACGGCGCTGCTTTCGGCTCCCTCTAGGTACTGCAAGGTAAGGGACACTTGGTCAGCATTCGCACATCTCTCTTGTTTCTCCTTCTGTTCCTCTATTGTCTAGTTTCTCTCTCTTTAACATAATAGGTATTTTTCTCTAGAATTCAAAGCCTTTTTTGGTAATGAAAGCCACTATTTTGCAAGCAGTTATATCCATAACCGTTATTTGCATGCATCTGAATTAATCCAGAATTCAAAGCTATTTTTTGCTCTAAACTGAAAGGAAATATTTTATAGAGTGCAAAACAGCTATCTTCTTTATATTCCAGAGACCAGTTCAAATCCAAATTCATATTTTGAAAAATGAAAATCAACTTAAAATCATTCCATAATCACATTAAAAACAAAACTCAGGAATATATAGAATATAAGATAATTTTCAGAGTCCAAGGCAATTATAACCTTTATCTTTATCATGACCGATATCACTGTTATCATTATTTAAATCAATAAACGAACCTCAAAGTCGATTTCTGGATTCGCGTCCTCACAAACCCACAATTTCCCGTCGCGTTCTTTTAAGAAGCACCGGCAGTTGTCGATTTTCCTGTTGATATAATTTGTGGTTATTTGCAGAGTTATTATATTCGTTATCTATCTATCTCTCTATATATATATATATGTGTGTGTGTGTGTGTGTGTGTGTGTGTGTGTGTGTGTGTGTGTGTGTGTGTGTGTGTGTGTGTGTGTGTGTGTGTGTGTTAGAGAGATGGAGTGTGTGCATTTATTCGCACTGATGTGGTGATTTCTATAAATGCTATAGCTTGATATGACCATATCCCTTGCAAATTAAAGTGTTCTC